GATCTCTTCAAAGCACTTTAAAACAAGGCTGCAAACCTTCGACAATAATCTCTAAATTAAAAATAAGCCATACTCAGGATATGGAGAATGGGAGGGAATTTATCATTAAAGTTTTTTGATTACATTCAAATTGTAGTGGAACCTCATTCATATTTGACACTAAATTCAATTTTTGCAACAAATGAGTTTTAAAATGAGTTTCCAGTGAAGTAAAACTAAATACTGTGTCCAATTAACTGAAATTATGAAAAACAGTTAAGCTAGTCTTCTTGAATTTTCTAATGCTTGAGGGGCTTGTTTTGTTTTAGGTTGTTTGTTTTTTGTTAATATCTGCTTTAATTTTTTTTTCTCAATCCATACTGGATATGTCCATGAGGATGACTTTCTGACTGGCTTCATCAGTTATTTGTATAGGCCAAGAGAGGCTAAAATTATCTTAATTAGATAATATTGCTTGAAGGTTTTTTTATACTTTAATCATGAAGGACACAATTTAATAAGAAATAAAAAGTAGATAACATATGTGATGTCACAGGTAATTTATCCTGTCTTTCTCCCTTACAACAAAATAACTTTTGCAAACAAAATAAATTTACCCCATAATTAAAAAAAAAATTAAAAAGCACTTACATAATTTATTTTGGTTTCCCTTCCCACCACTTTTACTGATTGGACCTATATTTTTAAACATGTTAAAGATAGTCTACTGTGACTTCTAAGGTGTACTGATTTCATTTGTTTATTGTACAAATCAATTTTCCTAAAAGTGTTTACAATGGGTAAATATGAGAGAGCCATATAGGACTTGAATGTCAGTCCTGTGATATAGATTGTTAATGTACCTGCAAGCATACTCCTTGAGAAGGTACTCATACAGCTTGGTTTGAGAACAGAAGACTATAGAACAAAATTGTTATATCAATATCTTTGAGAACATCTTAACTTTTACAATACCAAATAGGGAAGGGAGGAATAAGCAGTAAGTTCCTGAAAAAATAATCTAGCATCAATCTGCTAGGTCTGGGTGAAGTGGGAGAGACAATAACAGAAACAGGTGGAAAGATTTTCTAAAGAACTAAGTTCTAGATTTACATTTAGAAGCAGTTTATTTGATATATTTGGGTGAAGCAGCCTTTCACATGGATTCTTATTCAACTGTATGAACAAAAATCTTAGAGAAAGCAATATAAACAAGATTTGACCACAAAAAAAACCAACCCCACTTGCAAGCCTACTTTAGCTGGGATTCTAACTTGTATGCTCCATCCCTCCTGCCCTGTGATTCTTTGTGTGTGTTACCCTTCCTTGCGTGGTAAGGTAACAAACCTAAAAGCGAAAGATAAGCTGTACTGTTGTAAGGGTTATGAAAAACAAAATTCGATTTTGGGAGGGGTGAGGCTTCAAGAAAAAATACAAACACTGTGTGACTTTTCAGATTAAATTAGTTTCTCCTGCATTCTTCAATTTTTAAAAATATTTAAGATATTTATGTATCACTGTATATACATGAAAGATGCATATATATTAACTAGTCATGAAAGTTATTTACTAATAACTGAACATAACTGTTCAGAACATTTACTGGGTCAGACCACAGGTCCATCTTGCCCACAATGCACTGTGGGTATGTATTTGAGCTCAAAGAAGTTTTCATTTTACTATGACCCACACAGTGTACATACATACTGCCTCTCTAAATCCTCAGTGCCAAAGATATAAATGGCAGTGTAGTGCACAGTCCATCTGGAGGCAGATCTGAATCCTAGAAAAGAACTAGAAGACTGCTTTGTCAAATGAGCATCCACTCTACAAGCTTTTGTTATGGCACAGTACCTAGTGAAAAGATATATGCAGCTCCATATGGTCATCTTTAAATGTCCAGAATAGACGCATTCTATTTTAAAAGAAGGCCACCAAGGTCACTCAGGCTCTGGAGGAAATAGCCCTGCCCACTGCTGGCAGGTCTATATTAGTAACCTAAGAGCACAACCTGGTGTAGTCCGAGTTTTGGTAGACAGCCTTATGGTGAAAATCACTGAGATTTTTTTACCTTTCAGCTAAGAGAGACTTTAAATGATTTAGTTATGCAGGAGAAAGGATAAGTCTCTCTTCACATGAAACACGTGTAATCATGCTTTAATTCTCAGTGAGGCTTTGGGGAAAAAATTGGTAAGTAAATCTACTGACTAACATGAAATGTCATGGCAACCTTGGGCAGAAACTTTAGAGAATCCAGTGGAAGACCTATCCAGGTAAAACATTATATTAAAGGAATCCACCAACAGTGCCTGGATCTCATATGGAAATGCTGACCACCATGAAGGTGATATGCAAGGGCAGATGGAGTGGTGGGCAGGTGGCCATCAGTTCAAATGCTGGATTCATCAAATGATGGGTTCCCCAATGGTGGGGAATGAAAAGGTTTAGGTCTCAGTGAGGAAGAACTCCTTTCAGATCTCATATGGAAAGGAATACCTTGGATAGGCCACAGAACATACCTGAGTAGCAGATGCTACTCAGATGCTACTCATTCACAAATGGATAGTACACTCTGAAAAAAGCTAGGCACTCTTTGATAAAGATGAGGGACAGGTAAGCATGGTTCATCTCTAGTAGAGAAATTAAGATGGCCAAAATGGAGGCCTTGGAGGGAGAAATATCACAGCACAATATCACACTAGGATGCTGAAAACCTAGCATATTTAGTCATGAGAATTAAACATGCTCACCCCACTGTCAAGAGTCATCCAGCCGTAATCTAGACTCGATCATTTACAGTACAATGTAGAAGAAGCTGGCAAATTTTGTGGACTGCCCAAACTGCCATGAATAGCATGTAGCTTTGTCTCTTGAGAAGACCAGAGAACTTGCACTTGAAGATGTTCATGTGCAATCCTCACTTAATAGGGAAATATTCATCCTAATTATCAACACTTATTAGAAGGGAAGCAATAGGTCCTCTAACGGGTACTTTCACCAAATATGGAGTTACTAACAGGAGAATGGCGACCTCCATACACAGGGAATGCCTTCCAGGAGGATAAATTGATCAAAACCAACTACACTTATCATCCACTTATGCTCCATTCTTCTGGACAGGGATGAGGTTTACCTTCTCACTGTTCACCATGAATCTAAAGTGTAGATTAAGAATAATTTGGAGATTCTCTGCTCTCTCCTGGACAGATAACCTGTATTCATGGTCAAAGTAAACAGCAATATTCTATCTTAGGAGGGCTACAACCACTGCAAAAACATTGCAGCTAAGGGACTAACCTAGTATGTACACTTAAAGGGTGCCTATACACGAGTTGGGAGGCTGCTCTGATGCACTGTAATTACAGCGCATCAGAGCAGACTCAATTAATCAAGTCTGCTGGAGCGTGACAATTACCGTGCTCCAGACAGCCTCTGCATCTTGTGCATCAGCGTCCCCATGCTGCAAAATAGCAGCGGGGGTGCTTTAACTAAAGCTTGTCAAACCAGCTTTAGATAAAGCACCCCTGCCACCACTTTGCATCACAGGGATGCTGATACACAAGATGCTCCATGTGCTTTAAGTAGAGCGCCCCCCCCTCCTACCCCACTCATGGAGCACATGTAAAAACAGCCAAAGGTACCAGTTCAACCCCACTGATAGTAACTGCAAGTGTATATATAGGATAGCAGTAAATCTATTATTATTTCGCTGAGTTCACCAATGACACCAAACTTTAGGGCAAAGCATCCACACCTGAAGACAGGCGGGTGATCCAGGATGACCTGGACAGGCTCAGCAAATGGGCAGACGAGAACCTGATGGTGTTTAACACCGAAAAATGGAAGGTTCTCCACCTTGGGAAGAAAAACCTGCAGCATCCTTATAGGCTCGGCAGTGCTACGCTGGCTAGCACTACAGAAGAAAGAGACTTGGGGGTCATCATTGACCACAAGATGAACATGAGCCTGCAATGCGATGCTGCGGCTAGTAAAGCAACCAAAACGCTGGCTTGCATCCATAGATGCTTCTCAAGCAAATCCCGGGACATCATTCTCCCCTTGTACTCGGCCTTGGTGAGGCCGCAGCTGGAGTACTGCGTGCAGTTTTGGGCTCCACAATTCAAAAAGGATGTGGAGAAGCTTGAGAGAGTCCAGAGAAGAGCCACGTGCATGATCAGAGGTCAGGAAAACAGATGTTACGACGATAGGCTGAGAGCCATGGGGCTCTTCAGCCTGGAAAAGCGCAGGCTCAGGGGTGATCTGATGGCCACCTATAAGTTTATCAGGGGTGACCACCAGTATCTGGGGGAACGTTTGTTTACCAAAGCGCCCCAAGGGATGATGAGGTCGAATGGTCTGCAAGACCATTTCATAGGGCATAGGGAAGAATTTCATTACTGTCCAAGCCCCCAAGGTCTGGAACAGCCTGCCATTGGAGGTGGTTCAAGCACCTACATTGAACACCTTCAAGAGTAAATTGGATGCTTATCTTGCTGGGATCCTATGACCCCAGCTGACTTCCTGCCCTTTGGGCAGGGGGCTGGACTCAATGAACTTCTGAGATCCCTTCCAGCCCTAATGTCTATGAAATCTATGAAATTTACATACTACCAAAAACATGCTTGGTGCTTTACAGACATCTACAGGTTCCATCCAAAAGAGAGACTAAAATCTAAACATGTAATGTAAAAGATAAGCAACTGGACAATCATTGTTTATGGCACATACATATTTCACAAAGAACTAGAAATAGTAATAACTAGAAATAGTAATAGGAAATAATTTAAAATCTAGTAATTACTAGATCCTTTTTACATATATAAATAAGTTGTCTTCAAGGAAAATTGACTGACATACAGAACAGCATTTGAAGTACATTAATTAATACCATATAGTCTGGAGAAATTTCTGTGACAATGAAGTCATTAATGGAGGAATGGATGAACGGACAGATGGGTGGATGGATACAGAAACAGACAGACAGATAGTATTAAGTGAGGGTGGAGTATTATCTTTCTTACCTTGTTTGTAAAGCTTCTGATTTTTCTGAATTATCTATAGACATGACAAAAAGGTTAATAAACCATATGAGAGAATATTGGTACATGGGCTCAATGTTGGCTAGATCAGCAATTGAGAAAAACAAAATTGATGAATGAATAGCAATTGGACGGTAGCCCATTCGAGTAGCATCGATCTTCTTTTCTGTCTCTTCAGCTACAGCTTGCTTCTCAGAAATCTCATTAGCCAGAGCTTTGGAAGAAGATAATATCTTAATGGCAGTTTCGTCCTCTAAAATATTTCCTTCTGAAGCTGAAAGAACTTCTAAAATCTTGTCTTCTATTTCTTTTAGTTGCCTAAAAGAAAACATAACTTTTATATAGAAAAATTATAGGCATGCTCCATTAATGCACATGATGTATAGTTAATATATGCAACCCACAGATTTTTCTTTTTTATAAACCATTTACTTCAGAATTAAGTTGTTTTCTCATCTCTTCCAATCAAATTCATGCTTTATTTTGTGTGAACAACTTAGATATATCTTAGAGCGCAAAATGATTCCATGCAAAAGAAATGGGCAACAAGTCTAATATAGACAGCCTTCTCCATATTGCTTCAGGCAGAAAGGGACTCTGAGCATGTACAACCAGAATGTTGTAGCCCAACTCTGGTTCACACATTTCTAAAAAGCATCAGTTAGGAAAATAATAGATTACACCCATGTCCCATTTCCCCATAACTTCTGGAGACTCATCAACAAGCAACATCAACTCAGGGAAAACATAAAAACGGAAGCCAAGATCTAACTACACCTTTAAGGCTATATACTCTAGGCATAGTGAGCTCCAGCAGCACCCTGGACAGAGTGCCAACCACCAGAAAGCAAAAGAATGGCAGGAGGGGCTGGGACAGAAGGTGTGAAGAGTTTTACCAACACCAGCTCTCTCTGCACTCTGGCAGAAGCTTCTACTGAAGCTGAGAAGCAAGCTCATCAAACACCAACTTCAGCAGGAGGCACCAAAATGTTCCCCCTCCAGGGACACATCCATACAAGCACACATGTGCCTCTTGCCCTGCTTCAAACCCCTTTGAGGTGGGGTAACAGGCACATGTGGGAACAAAAAAATGTTCCCCACGCTGCAAACTTGCAGCACAGGGAGAAAATTAGATCCCTGGATATCCAGGGGTCTTAATAAAAAAAAAAAAAAACAATCAACGTTTAAAAAAAGTGGCAACTGGAGGCTGGGTCCTCC